GCAGCTCAACCCGTGCCCTTCAAAGCCTCTAACATTTTCTTCCTTATTATCACTGTTGTATTTATATAGCTATTTTTAGTAATGAAACATCCCTGAGTGGCATACAGTGCAACATCTGCATCAAGCAGTGATTGTCGTTTACAAATCGTGAAACTTAAAAAGGAAAGAAGAGGACTGGGTCTCCAACACACCGTTCCTAATAGACGTCAGAGATAGGAGTTAGATTCTAGCTTGGAGGCAGAAAGCGCTGGGTCAGGTTGGTCGGTTTAAGTACACTATTTTGTTATTGCCAGAGAAAAACAAGCTGTTCTGTCTCAGGTTTCCATTCCATATGTGCTCAGACATTATGTCTTTGGACAAAAAAATCTCTCATGTTTCAGTTTGATCTTATTGCCCAGTGCTATATTCCTGGGGGGTCCAACAGACAGTGACTCTCAAAATAGGAACCAGCTTCCAGGCTGGACCTTGGCTCTTCTGGAATCATCATATCAATGCGGAGTCAGGAGGAAGGAGGATCTCTCCAATGTGCTTTGTAGCACAGCTTTAGGGGGGGTGAAATCAGCAACAGGGAAAGGAGCCATCAGCTGCACACCTCTAACCGTGCTGCCTGACCGAGGTGTGAGACTGCTGCAGCCTTGGAGCAGCTCCCATGGGCCGGTGGCGGGAGGCTGAGAGGCCGGTGCACAGGAGCAGCTTTGCACCTACTTTCCGTAGAATTTCTAACATGGGAAATCTCTGTAAACACCCGCAAAGGGAAATGTACACCTATGCGAGCTGCCGCCATGTAAACAAAGAAAGAAGATCACCTCATGAAGCCCATCTTCACTGGCAAGTCTCGTAGCTGCTCCACCTGGAGCACCACAACTTGGCACAGGCATCGAGACAGCGCGGCGCTGGAGGTGCAGCAGGAGGAACAAACTGATCCCTGTAAAACGGGGCTGCCATGAACAATGGGAAGCGTGAAGTGGCAGCATTAAAATGCAAGTGTGAGAAAAACATCGACTTGTGCCCCGCAGGGCTCAGAGGGGACCTTGTAATACCAAGGGCCTCTGACTTTGCGAGGGGTTGAGCACCTTCTGTGTGCTGCTGGGATGACTCCATTTTTAGTGGCACTGATTAGAGCTAAGGGAGCCTCACAACTTGCAGAATCAATTCCTAAATGCTGCCCATCACCAACCAATCAAACAATATACTCTGCTTTTGGAAACAAGTTGGCTCAACTGAGTGCCTTCTATTACCCTGTTGTGTTTTTTTTTTTTTAAGCAATCGCTAAACCAATCTTTCCATTAGTAGGAAATATGACTCTCGGTGTTAATTCTTTATACAAAGAGCTGGCAAGAGTGACATTTACACAAAAATTAAGTCTCTGTGGTAGTGTAATGAACAACCTACATCTGCTTCCTTGATGTCAAGGATAATTTAGATCAATGTGGTTGAGTTATTTGAGACCAGTGCTAGAATTATAAGATTCAATACATGCTTTAAATATCCTTTTGTTAAAGATCTTGGGTTAATCAATCATTAAAAAATATGTCCCATTTGAAAAGATTATCACTAAAAAAATCAACAAACATAACTGATTACTAAAGAGACCAGATGTGACAAATCCTAGTTTTAGAGGTTTAATTGAAGGGCTTCAGATACTACTGAGGGCTAATGAAAACCAAGAAGAAAAAATGTGCAACACTAGTATTATCTGAAATGCTTTTTGCGAGTGAATTATGCAGTTATTTACTCAAATTCATGCTATTTTATTATTTAAAGCCTATGGATAACTTGAACATATGAAATATCAAGAGCTTGAAATTTTGAGTATAAATGGCTGTGTATCAAAACCGACAACAAATATCCAGCCTGCAGCATGTGATCATTATTTGTTGTTCTAAACTCAGTCAGTGGAGGACAAAAGAAGTACTACTTTACCTATGTGGCCAATACCAAATCATAGAAAATTAAATAAAATTTATCAGCCTTAGTTGGCACAAATAATACATGAGAATTAATTTTTATTTTTCAAATAAACAACATCATTTGCTCAAATACTGTAAAAGTAGTTACAAAAGTAGAGCAAGTAATTGATAATTAAACTTATTTGAAGATAAAAAATTATTTGGCAATAGCTGTCATTTTTTGTCCAGGCTATTGCCTATCAATGGCAATGAAGATTTTGTATATCAGCATCTTAATATTTTTAGGACAAAAGGCAAGAATCCATTTTTATTCCAGGACTGGATGCTACTACCTCTGTGGTCTCTGGCAAGTCAGTTAAATTATTTTCCTTCATTTCTGCAACTTTAAAAAGTGGCAGTAATCCTTAGTGATTGAAAAGGTCATGAGGTTGCAGTGATTTAGGAATAATGCTTTAAGGATTAAAAGCCCTGCAGAAAATGATTAAATAATGTCTTTTCTACTGGTGGTCTCCATTTTGTTATCTTGCCTAAGACATAAGTCAAAAATCCCAAGGACTGACTAGTTTATTTGAAAAGAACAAAGCATTTTCAAGATGTAACACATAATTGTGAAGGACTATTTATAAACATGACAAATCTCTTCATTTATCAGCACTAAGAACAGTAATATTTATAACATATTCTCTATTTCTGTGGTTTGGCTAAATACGTTACCTTTGTTATACTGAAAACAAGTTTATGAAGGATTTGAAACAAATACCTATGTGTGTGTTTTTGTGTCAGAAAACAAAAGAAAAGCCTGAATCCCTTACAGTTAAAGATAAACACTTCTAGGGTTCAGTTTGACTTGATGTTTTAACTAAATAAATTCACACAAACAGTAGATAAATAAAGTTAGTTAAGTTACTGGATATCAGAAAGAGCTGGACTTTGGGGTTCTTTTCATGGATTTGCCATGTAAAAGGGGCTGCACACAGATAAAGCAACCTTATAAGGGAATGTCAGTCTTAGGATTTAAGTTGTATAAAGAAGCATCAAGAGCAATGCTTTATTATGTTAACTGAAGACATTTTAATGCAATCAGTAGAGATAACAAAACATGCTCTGAATTTGAAGCAAAAAAGGTATTTTAGAAATTGCCGTTCTATAGGACTATGTAATTTTAAAGAATACGTCACGTTTGCAACAAAATTCTCAACACACCTAACTTTGCCGTGCTCTTTTTTTGTTTCTGAAGTTGCAATGGACCTACAGAGAAACGTTTATTAGCTAAGAGTTTGTAATCGCTCTTGGATCTGGTCAGGTGTTGCTAAAACAGGGTAAACAAATGTTGATGTTGTCTAGACTGGATTCTGCCATGAAACATGTGTATGACCTTGCAAACCGGCTGATGGAGGACAAGGGAAAACTCCACGAAGTGCTTGGAATGGCCGGTGAATTATCTGGTCATGCAGAACAGGGGCCAGAATATTGAGACCAGAGCTGTGCCAGTCTGCCGGAAAGGCTGGAGGCGTTATCACTGCAACAAGCCACGTTTCTGCACCCACGCAGGGGCCCAGCTGAGCCCCTGCGGACACGGCTCTGCTGCACAGGCTGGCGGAAGGTGGGTCCTTCAGCCTCTCTACCAGCGTGCTCCTCCTCGCCTTGCCTCAGATTGCACTGACTTCCATGTGCTTTGAAATAAAGAAATGTATCTGCTTGTGATCCTGCCTTCGCTTAACTCCTTCCCTAGTGCCTGCTTCCTCTTATTTCTCCACTGGCATCCCCGGAGGTGACTTCTCTGAAATAAGCTCACAATGGGTAAAAGTGACGGTAAGAACAGAGCCATAGCAAAAACTGAATCCCTCTCCCACAGCTAAAAACTCTGTGTTCCGCATCTCTGGCAGAATCCAAATACATTAATCATGACCGCTAATTAAACTTAATTAATCCACAAGATTAAGTCCATGGCAGTCTTCCACTCTCCTCTGTGTTTGCCTTTGGTTTTGCAAGCAAATGCACACATAAAGTCAACTAGAGATGACAAAAAGAAATCTCCCCTCCTGAAGCGCATCCTAAACTCAACCCTATATATGTATATATATACAGTTATATACATACAGATATATACATACATATATGCATGTGAATGTAACATACATATATGTATGTGTGTAATGGAAACCGTCAGTCCCATCTAGATGACGGCCGTCAGAAGCAGTGACAGTTATATTCGCCTTTGTAACCACGGACATTGCTCGCGTTGAGCTTCCTCCTCCCTCCCCCGCTTCCTCCCTCTGCCGCTACTCTTCAGAGCTACATTTTAGGCTTTCTGCGGTTTTCACTGAGTCCACTACATGTCTCTCCATTGAGTTCAGCAAAAACCAAACCAAGCCTTGTAAATACTTATCAAAGCAGTATATATAAAGTAAAATCACGTATGAAATCAGAAAAAGTGTACGTGTGGCATACTCTACATTTTTACTCCGTGTTTCAGATACTTTACTGACATCAGGTCCTACAGTGTTCACTTTTATATATGGTCTATCCCTTTAACAGGGAGAAAATGAAAAGAAACCAAACATTTCCTCTCTCCACTAAAATCATCCAGACAAGGCTTTTGCACCATTGATACATTCCTAATGTTTCATTTACAGAATGCACACATGCACTACATTACAAATATCTCAGAAGTGATCCTGTCATTACACATTGGCAGCTGATAATTCAACTCTGACTGGCAAAGCAAACCTCGATTGCCCAAAGTAAATCTAATACATTACTTGGAGAGTAAGAAACGCATGACAGCCGGGCTGAGCATCCTTTAAAAGTAGGCATGGGATTTTTAAGCTACAGCATGTATGCATTTAATACCTACATATATATATATAAAAGTATATAGAACATATATATATATGTGTGTATTCCATACATGCATCATAATTTCCAAGACAGCTACAAATTTCCACATGCATTAAACTATCTAAAAACATAGAAATAGGCAAGTCTAATAAGTGGAATTTTCTTAAATTATATTTGAACAATAAACAGCAAGAGTAATACTGCAAAGTACTGCTCTATTCTCATGTATATCTACAATAAAATTCTAGGAACAGTTGTCTCCCAAAACATACCCCAGTAAAATAAAAAAAAAAAAAAAGGTAACACCCAGTGTCCTATATATTTGTATATTCATTGTCAGTTAAAAAAAAAAAAAAGAAAAAAAGGAAAAAATAAAGAAAAAAAGAGTAAACAAAGAAAAGAGAAAAAAGACATCCCCACTCAGAGTTGCATATTTACATTCTTCAAACTGTAGCGGTGAAAAATAATTCTATTAAGTGCAGGACATTCCTAGTGTTGCAGTAGTGACATTTTTAATAAGTTCTTCATGAAAACATTTCTTTTTTGTCTTAATAGTGACGCATTCCATGACTACGTGAAAATTCTATTATCCCCTTCACTTGCAGCCAGTGGTTGAGTCTGGATTGAAAAGCTCCTTGTATAATGGAGGAAACAGTGTGTTCACTATATCTGGATGAGATTGCTTAAATACCTGTAGTTTCTCTCCGTGCAAGTTGCAAAGTGCAGTAATGGTTGGTATCTTGGCTATTAACTGTGAGACATTAAAATAAAAAGAAAAGGAAGAAGGACGAGGCAAATTTAATATAAATTATTTTCCAAAACAAGCTATGTTAACATTTTGTTGGGTAACTGAACATAATACTCTGAACTCCATCAAAATTACCCATCCAAAGGACCAGACATTGTTCTTACTGTAAAAGGCTAGAAACAATTGTCCTGGAAATTTTAGCTAAGTGCCAAAAATGCATTTAACAAGAAACTGCCTCCAGGGGTATTTTTTAAAGGCAGTCTAATTCTTTCTAGGGTAACAATTAAGAAGCTTAGTGGATTGAACAA